TACATACACACACACACACACACACACACACACACACACACGCACGCACGCACGCACGCACTGATAACACAACTATAGTGAGACTGAAGAGAATGAAGAGATGCTACAGACCTAAGAAGACCCCCATGGTGAGCTGACTTTAGAGTAAGGGGTGCTGCATCTTTATTAGACTGGTAGAATTATGAGGCTAAACGTCCTCTAGGAAATGTGCAGAGCGAAAGTCATGGTCTAGTAGACATCTCAGCGAAGGCGTAACATAGTACAAACAGTTGGTTAGGAAAAACAGATTGAAAGTAGTGCCAGGTGTTTGGAGATTCAAGATGGCGGCTTGATGTTTGGAGAGCCAAGATGGTGGCTGGATGGTAGTCACCAGTCGCTTCCCCAGCTTAGGGAAAAATCAAATCAACCAGAGAGCAGAGGCTTTCAGAGGTGGATGGCTGCGGAAGCATGCCAAGTTCAGAAGTGAAGACACGGACTACTCAGTCAGGGAAATGCAAATCGTGTTTACAATAAAATTCCACTTCATTCCAGTCAGAACAGCAAAACAGAAACCATAAAGAACCCAAACTCTAGCCAAGATGTGAAGGAGAGGAAACCCCTAAATGCAGAGAATGTAATTTAGCGCAGGCACTGTGGCAGATAACATGGAGGATCCTCAGTATATGGAACATAGATTAACCATATGAACCAGCTATGCCACTCACTCTTCAGCGTTTATCAAAAGGACACGAGATCAGCATTCAAAAGAGAAACCTAAACATCCACACTTTGGCTCTGTTCACCGCTACCGGTATATGGAATCAACTTAAGCAGCCATCAGCAGATGAACAGGCAAGAAAATGTGGTACATTTAGACAACAGACAATTACTATTCAGCCACAAAGAATAACAAAACTATATCATCATCAGAAAAATGGGTGGAATTGGAGGAAGTTATGTTAAACAAAACAAGCCAGATAAAGAGATTAGTATTATGTGGTTTCTCTTATATAAGGAAAAATAATGACTCAGAACTATAAGAGTCCAGGAAGGGGAAGGAAAGAGAAGGATGGGCAAGAGAATAGAGGCCAAAGTATGTTCCATACATGCTTGGAGACATCACTATAAAACTCAGTAATTTGTGGGAACAATAAATATTGATTATTATAATGGTGAAGAATTTAAAAATCTGCTGCCAGTGAGGGCTATGGAGGAGGGGGATTCTGAAGTACAATGGCGGGAAGTCTAGTTGAACCATGTCCTGAAGCTATGTGGAAAGCAAACGTAGGGAATGGATTGAGGTGTTCAGAGAGAAGCCTGATGTCCAACCTGGTTTCTTCCTGCTATGCTGGGGAGGTGATAACAGAGTTGTTCACCACGGAGCAAGCAGGACTTGATAATTGTTGGAAACTCACATTATCCAGCTTCTAAGGAACACAGAGTGATTTCTGGAGCTTGCACGTTAGAGAGAGAAACCACATAAAGGATGTCCTCTTGCTAACGTCATAGAAAAGTGAAAATGCCACTATGTTCCACCCAAAAGCTCGCTCTTCAAAGGTCCCTTGAAGAGATTATAAGTATGGCTGACAGAGTCCCCACTCCATCTGAGCAAAAGCCAAAATGAGAGGAGCAGTTACCCAGGAAAAAGCCATGGAGAAGCCCTTCTCCAGCAGGATGTATAATATTGTGTGGCATATAGGAGGACAACATGATTCCTGAGGAATTTACCCAAAAAGAGACATGGTCATAAAGGGACAGAAGGTAAGTGAAGGGAGGGCATTTGATCCCTCTAAGTACAGGACACAAAACCAGCCGCAGACACATGCCATGTTAGCAGAAAAGGAAGGGTGGCTTCAAGTTAAGAGTCAGTTAAGAGGACAGAGGACAACCAAAGAGGACAGGTCTGTGATGGGATCTGGGGCTGTTTGTCTAGGTGGATTTCATATCTCTGCAGACCAGTGGTTCTCAACCTTCCTGATGCTGAGACCCTTTAATTCAGCTCTTCATGTGGTGATGATCCCCAATTATAAGACTATTTCATTGATACTTCATAACTGTAATTTAGCTACTATTATGAATCATAATGTAAATATTTGATATGGAGGATGGCTGATAAGTGACCCTGAAGGGGTCACGACCCATAGGTTGAAAAACGCTGTTCTAGATGGATGATTTTTCTCCTTGCTTTGGATTGTATTTATGCTTAATTTAGAAGATTTGAGATGATGCGATTTGGAACTGGTTTGTTGTGTATGATATATGAGATTTGGGGGCTTATATAAAGGCCATGACGGATTGAGGCACTTGTTGATGGAGAGACTGAATTTGACTTGTTGGATGTATTTGTGGATTTTGGAATGATTGTGGTAAGCAGAATTTTTACCCTGGATATTGGATCTCGGAATCTTTGAGTATGTTGTTTTATGTGGCAATAAAGTCTCTCCAGATGCTAAACCAGGACCCTGAGATGTGAAAATTAGTTTGAATTATCCAGGTAGAGTCAAGGTCATTACAAGGATGATTTTCAAAGGCAGGTGAGCTTTGAGGATGGAGCTGGCTTTGAAGGTAAAGGAATCAATCAGGACGTGGCAAAGGCACGTAGGAGAGGCAAGGACATTAGATCCTTCTAGCAGATCTAAGGCGGTCCTGTTAATACACTGACTGGAGCCCAGTGAGGCTTCTGAACAGAAATATGTTATATGCCAGGAAATGTGTGGTATCACATCTGGGCAGCAACAGGGATCTGTCACACAAATACCTGAAGAGAAGTTTTCTTTGGTCATTTTTTATTTTTGCATTTTGATTATTTTTGACTTTTTGAAAATAGTTATAAATTTAATATTCTTTCATTCAGGGAAAATACCCTAAGATGCAGAAGTGTTCAGAACAGCTTCCTCAAGGGATAATTGAGAGCTGCATGCACTTCCTGTAATGTGAGAGGGGTTCCAGCTTGCCCAGAGGGTTTGGCAAGATGTGAGGGCATAACATAGGGAAGATACTTACTGTTTCCCTGTTCAAGCGACAGCAGGTGGGTTCCCGAGCTAAAGATGCTTCCCCTTGCTTTGATCTGAAGACAGAAGGAAATCCATCTTAAGGCTTGTCTGCCTAGCTTCAGCACACTTACGATATATAATCAACTACCATGTTACTGCAACTCAGGAGTTATTTCTATCACGGTATTTCGGTATTTCCCTCCCACCATTTTCCTGTATGTACATATATACATTTTAAATAATAAGTACACAATTTTGTGTTTTTTGTTGTTCAATATTTATCATTCCTAGGAATCTGTGAAAAGTATGTATGTGTATGTCTTTAGCACCTACTGTATGTGAGGTAAACAGTGGAGGTAAATGTAAAACAGAAGTAAATCCTCTGCTGTTACTCTTATTTTAAAATAAACAAAAAACTCTTCCTTTAAAATAAACAAAACTCGCTCTCTGTGGGCCTGATTCTGAAATGAGGTAACTTGAAAATTTGATATATATAATAATTACACGGACTGTTGTTTCCAGTGTTCAGGTGAGATGGCTTATACTCATTTTAGAGCATGAAGTCCAGTAAATTATCCAAGGTCCCAGGACCATGAAGAGATGAAACAGAAATTAAAACTATTGTAAATTTGTTACCTTTTCATAGAAATAAAGAAATGTCTAGAGTCAATATTTCAGTGGTGAACAGGAAAAATGATGAACTAAAGCCTGAGTAATTTCATAGGAAGCAGTTTATCTTTTAGTACAAACCCCCCAAAACTCCAATATTAACCCTGATGTCCTACAAAACCTGCTGCTCTGAGAGGAATCTAGTAAATCTGGAGTTTATACCATTAGAAAGAGATGCAGGGATTCTCATTCTTACCAGATAGTAAAAGGTTAAATCTTTTTCATCCTTCAGGAGGTCTCTGTTCAGAATGTATTGTGTCCGAATCTCCTGGGTTTGCCCACAGGACAAAGTACCAAGAACAAGTTCAAGATGAATATAACTCTTGCTCGGGGAGAAGATACGCGTTGCAGAATGATGCGCTTGTGTGTGAAATTCACTAAGCCACCAGTTATCATAGCAGTTATTGTTATCCTTGTAGGAGACCTAATGGGAAAACGAAGAGCACATTTGTGTTTAGTGTCTGTCTGTCTGTCTGTCTAACTACCCATACAATATCTTTTTGTAAAAAATATTGTAAAAAGTCTGTTTTCTTAAGTCGGTAGCTGCTTTCCCACCTCCCTCTTAATGGTCTGTATTCTGTCAGTTATATTTTAAATAAATGCTGATTGGCTAGTAGCCAGGCAGGAAGTATAGGTGGGACAACCAGACAGGAGATAGAGGAACAAGAGAATTCTGAAAAGAAGGAAGTTCTTTCTGCAGTCCTGACCCGGCCACAGAGCAAGCAAGATGTAACTGCCTCACCGAAAAAGGTACCAAGCCACTTGGCTGACATAGACAAGAATAATGAGCTAATATAAGTTGTAAGAGTTAATAAGAAGCCTGAGATACTGGGACAATCAGTTTATAACTAGTGTAGACCTCTGTGTAATTTCTTTGGGACTTAATGATTGCAGAAACTGGGCAGGGCAGAAAACTCAGTCAACATCTTAAGTTTATTTAAGCTTCTGTATCTCAGGTTGGCTTTAAAGCTTACACTTCTTCCTTCTGTCTCCTGAGTTCTGGGATTAAGAAATGCTCACCCTGAGCCAGATGTGATGGTGCACACCTTTAATCCCAGCACTCAGGAGGCAGAGACAGGTAGACCTCTGTGAGCTCAAGGCTAGCCTGCTCTACAGAGTGAATTCCAGGACAGCCAGGGCTGTCTCAAAACCCTCTGCCCCAGAAAGGAAGGAAAAAAGGAAGGAAGGAAGGAAGGAAGGAATGCTTACTATGCTTGCGAGGCTCATGTATAATTTTTTTGTATAGATTCACTTCATTATTTGCATGTCAGGGTACTTATTTTCCTTTACTTATTCATCCTTTTATAATTTCATATTTATATTCTTAATCAAGTCCTCCAACTTAATTTTTTTATTATCCCATTGACCATCAAACTAAGTCTCTTCTTCCTAAACCTCTCTATTTTTGTGCCTTTTATTATTATTTTTTTTTTTGGTGTGGCCCACTTGGGGGTTATTTGATTGAGTGGGGGCAATGTGGAATATGATTCTCCTCCCCCTGCAACTTTCCACAATCTGCTCCTCTGGCAGGGTGGGGCCTTATGAGCCCCCCATCCGTTATGAAGTGTTGATAGGCCCGGCTATGTACAGGTCTTGTGTAGGTAGCTGTTGTTTTATCTTCTTAAAACTTTATTGCTTAAGATTATTTGAATGTTCAAGCACAAACAAAAATTGTATTATGCTAAAGGAATCAGGGATAATTTAACTGGTAATAGAACTATGAAAATATTAAAAACTTCAAGGCAGTACAAGGCTGGTATTTTGTCTTCCTGAAGGCAGGCCAGGCTGTAAGTGTCCCTGACACAGAACTTTCTGGCCTTCCTGATTTAAGTTTCTACATTACTCTGTGTTATTTCCTATCACGATTTCTTTTGTCCCCAGAGTTCATGCACCTCTCACACATCCTCATGTTGTGTAGTCCCCTGACCTAAGCCTTTTCGGCCTTACGTTTCCATTTCCACTTACCGCGATGCCCATGAATGAAGACGTGAAGTTGGACGTGTCAATGGCAAGGTTGACCAAGCCATGCTCATCAGTGGTGAACGTGGACAGGTACTTAGATACATCCACACGGACAGTTATGTTTTTGTTGGGCATTGGCTGATTCTTCTCATCGACAAGACGAACCTAGAAACAGGAGAGTGATGTCTGGTTACCAATGCCAGTTAGCCACACCATCTTTCCAGTCTGTTCTGTTTACATCTCTGCCTCTTGCTCTGTTCCTGTCCCTTAATGAAGATCCTTATATTTGTAAATGAGACATTTTCTGAGTTTTAAACTGTGATATTTAGTTTAAATATTCCTTAAGTTTTTAAAACCTGAAAGTTTATTTTTATTTTATTGTTTTTTAATTGACCGTATTTACCTTTTATTTTGTGCCATATATGTGTCAGAATTCAGAAGGGGGCATCAAATTCCCCAAGTTCCAGGTGGTTGTGAGCTGTATTGTGGTTGCTGGGAATTGAACCTGGGTCCTCTGAAACTGCAGCTAGTGTCCTTAGCCACTGACACATTTCTCCAGCTCCCTATTTTATTCTTTTTAATTGAAGAACAAGAATGCTGTATAAATTTTAGAGCACAATGTGATGTGATGTCTTGATAACTCCATGTAAGGTAGAATGATTATATCCACTTAGCGAATTTATCCATTACGGCTGCCTGATGTGGGTGCTAGGAATTGAACTCAGGTCCTCAGGAGGAGCCACCTCTTAACCACAAAGCCATCTCCCCAACTCCTGTGCTAGTTACTTTTATATCAGTGTGATACAAACCAAAGTCCTTTTAGAAGATAGAACCTGAACTGAAAAAAGTTGCCCTCCCTGGCTCGGCCCGTGGGCAAGTCTGGGCTGCACTTTCTTTATGATGATGTGGGAAGGCCCGGTCCATTGTGAGTGGGCCACCCCTGGACAGGTGGCCGAGGGTTTCATAAAAAAGTAAACCCATCAAACCATAAGGAACAAGCCAGTAAGCAGCACTCCTTCATAGCCTCTGCTTCAATGCTTGCCTCCAGGTTCCTGCCTTGAGTTCCTGCCCTGACTTCCCAGCTGTTAGGCTACCATCTCCCTTTCTATCTTTCATTTCTAGGGAACTCACATGTTTCTGTTTTCTAGTGATTTTCTCTCTACCTGTGAAGGCCTTGCCAAACCCCAACACACTTATCCGTGTTTCTTCCAATTTGATAGGAAATGGAAAAAATGAATGAAGAAAGCGTAAAAGTCAAAGTCAGATATAAACTTCCAAATATAAGTGAGGAAACTGCTCATCAACTTAGTCCAAAGATTATTTGTCGTGAAAGCAAAGTGGGAAACTGCCCAAAACCTTAGCTATATTATATGAAAGGAAAAGGGCAGTTTACTCCATTGTATTATCTGGCCTAGAATTTACCAGCGTTGCTATTACAAACATTGCTTCAGCCCTGAAAAATAAATCTTTAAAAATGTTTCAGTAATTAAAAATTTTTATCATCTAGACGAAAGGCTGTTGATATCTCTTGGATGTTAAATGTTTCCCAAAGGCTTGGATCCCAGTGTGGTGCTATTGGTACTGGATTTGAAGTCCTTGGGTCATTGGGAGTGTGTTGTCCAAGGAGACTGGAATCTGGTCTCTCTCTCTCTCTCTCTCTCTCTCTCTCTCTCTCTCTCTCTCTGCCCTTCTTCACTATAATGTGTGGTGTCACCACAGACACAACTCACAATGGACTGAGACTTCCCTGGGCCTAAGTAAACTTTTTACCTTTATAAGTTAAAGGTCTCAGGTATCTTGTTATAGTAATGGAAAGCTGACTAACACAATTACTTTTAAAAATTATTTCTGGGGAAAACCGCATTAGAAAAGCTTTTTTTTTTTTAAATAAAGAGGGAATCAAAGAGAACATAGCCAAACTACACAGAAAAAAAAAAACTATTACAGAGTTATGTAAGGAAGGTGATAGTTTAAAATTTGCTTTGTTTTTCAACAGTTCACTCTCCTTGATAAACGTGAAATTTTCTACTATTTCTTTTTCTATGTAATTGATGTAATACATTTTGATTTTGCAATTAATTTTTTTTCTTAAAAATCTTGTGTCTGGGGTTGGGCGACGGCTCAGTGGATGAAATGCTTCTTGTATGTGCACGAGGGCTCCGATTCCCAGCACTGCAGAGATGCTGAGTGGAAATGGCAGCCTGCCTATGATTCCAGAGCTTGGAAGGCTGAGACAGAGGCTCTCTGAAGCAAGCTGGCTAGCTCGACTAGCCAGCATTGTCAAGCTCTGAGTTCAAGTGAGAGACCCTGAGCCAAAGAATAAGGTGGAGAAGGCCTGAGGAAGACTCCTGGTGTCAACCTGGAGTCTCCCGACGTGCACACCACAAGCACAAGTGAACCCACACACATGTGTGCCTACGCTCATGTAAAGACGTATGCACATGCATGTGTATCACGACCGCAAGAGCATATACACAGAAGAACATTTCATGCCCCTAAGTATGATCATGGGGGAAAGTATTTTACCTGCCCATAGAAAGGTAGTCCTGGCCTGTAGTGTGTATCAGCTTTAGTAAATGTCAGTCTGCTTAAGGTGTTTGTTATTTCACACGATCCATGACCAGTGAGTTCCAGTCCTGAAAAAAAAGGGAGAAGCTAGTTTCATCTATCCCAAGCTCACCTTCCACCTCTACCTCCGCCCTCATCCGTTATTACAGAATGCCCGCTAGTCTTTGAATAATTTTATGAGGTATCACATCCAAAACATTTTTACTTATCCTGCATCTTCTGTTAGCCTTCTTTTGAAAAATCAGTTTGTTTAGGTCATTATCAAATATATCTGAAGCTAGCCATGCTTTTCAGAAGCACTTGTAAGCACCTCATCGTCTGAATCAATTTCCTCCGTTCTGAGAATGAGAGTGCTTTGGTACTTTCCCCGGCCTATTGCTAATCTTCCAAAATGTCACTCATCCTCCACAGAGTGTATCAAATGCCAGCGTAAGGGCCCCCCTTCTGTCTCTGCATTAGAATTAACTACTTAAGTCCCAAATTCCTTATGGAAATTTGATCACAGTTATACACATACACTCCAACACACATACACCCTCTGCTTTTAAACATTTAATTTCTTGAGATCAGTGACCTGTCGTTTTCATAATATGTAGACTCTGTAAAGTATACCAAATGGAATCCAAGTTTGATAAGTTCCCACTTAATTGACATTTATTTTAAAATAATACAGACCTGTGCCCTCCTCTTTGACGTTGGCTTCCACTTTTATATTCATGTCATGGCCTTTTTGTCTTAGCTGAAATGCTTTGGTTTTTATAACTTGTCTGAAACATCCTTTATCATCTGCCTGAAGAGAAGAGGAGAGAGTTCCCAAGCTCTTTTATTTGCCATCAAAATGCCAATTATAAGTTTGCAAAAACATTTTAAGTATTCGGATACCTATTTTGTGTGTGTCCTTTCCCAACCCTAAGGATGAACGGTTTCTTTGTTAATCTCTGGGTTATTTATAGCCAACATTTGCCTCTCCTCTCTTCCAAAAATGGATCCTTTTTCTACTGCATCAGCCCTCCTGGAGTTTCCAGGTGTGCCATCATATTTTGTAATTGTAATTCTTTGCATATGTTGCTCCTCAAGTGATGATATTCTTTCTCTCTTTTCTTCCCTTGACTAACAACCCCTGCTTCTCAAACTCAACTTAGGCATAACATTTTCCAAGATGTTTCCATAACCATCTCTAGCTCAACACTGACCGGGATGTGTGCCCTTTTTATATATTCAAATATATTGGTCAACATTCACTGTATATGGTTGCAGGTTTTATCAGGATATTTTCATGCAGGTCTATGATTTACTTTGAACACATTCTCCCCTCTCTTCCCTTTATACTCCCTCCCCTTAGTTCTTTTGTCCACCTAAGTCAGTGGTTCTCGGCCTGTGGGTTGTGACCTCTTGGGGGTTGGATGATGCTTTCACAGATGTTACCTATGACCATCGGAAAACACAGATATTTACATTACAATTCATAGTACCAAAAATATAGTTATGATGTAGCAATGAAGATAATTTTATGGGGTCACCACTACATGAGGAACTGTATTTAAGGGTCACAGAAATAGGAAGGTTGAAAATCACTGGCCTAAGTGTTCTGCTTCTATTTTCACACCACAGGTAAATGCTTGCATGACTTTATGTATCTTTACATAAGATAGGATACACATATGAGAGCAAACATGTGATGTTTGTTTTTTGAGATTGACAACTTTTTTTTCCCAAAGACAGGGTTTCGCTGTGTCTTTGGAGCCTGTCCTGGAACTAGCTCTTGTAGACCAGGCTGGCCTCGAACTCACAAAGACCCACCTGCCTCTGCCTCCCAAGTGCTGGGATTAAAGGTGTGCAACACTATTGCCTGGCAAGATTGACAACTCTCTTAACACAATTATCTTTCATTCCGTCCATTTTCCTGCAAGACTGAATAATTTAGCTCTTGTTTATGGCTGAAAAGTTTTATTGTACAGATTACACCACATTTTCCTTATCCACTCTTCCACTGACAGACACCTCAGTTGGTTTATAACATAACTATTGTGAACAACACCACAATAACGGTGGATGAGCAAGCATCTCAGTGGTGTGTTGACTTAGAGTCCTTCAGGTAAAGACTCCGCTGTAGCTGGTCATACAACAGATCAACTTTTATTTGAATTCTTTTGAACCTCCATTCTGGGTTCCTTAGTGGCTGGAGTAGCTTACATTCCCACTATATAAGGGTTTCCTTTTCTCTGTATACTTGCCTGCATTTGTTGTTATTTCATGGACTCTACATATTTATGACTGTATTTTCTAAGTCATGTGACTGATGTCTGAGACATTGGGAGCGTGCCTATCCATTGACTAGACAAACGCTTATAGTAATTAGGCTTCTGAACTAAATGTTGTGACCTAGGTTTTAATAAAGATCATATCATAGGTATGCAACTTGACACACATTTGTAATCCCAGCATTTGGCAGGTTGAGGCCGGAAAATTATTGTGAATTTGAGGTCAGTTTGGATTACATAGTGAATTCCAAGCTAGCTATAAAATTGGGAAGCGAAAGCAAGAACAGGAGTTCGAGGTCATCCTTGGTTACATAATGAGGTTGAAGCCAGTGGGGGCTGAAAGAGAACCAGTCTCAAAAAAACTGGTGAGTCTCAACACATGTAGACCCCTCAAATTTGATCACAATTAATTTATAGACATTGTGAGTCATTTGAAAATAAAAGCTTTGTACAAGTCTTCAAGTTGTTTTAAAGACCGGGACAACTAGAGTGTGACTGGACTGATCTTGTTCATCAGGGCTTTTCTTACTGGTCGTCTTTGCACGTTCCATGGCAGCCTCTCGATCACCAGCTCCCTGCAGCCTCGATAACTTCCATCATAGCCTCCATGCAGTGTCTGCTCTAATAGCCATCCCTGAATTTTTATTCCCCGAATTTTTATAATTCTTCCCCTGAAAACAGAGTTCATGTACCCAACTTTAAATTTTTGTTCTGAATTTTATTTTATGTGTTCGGACGTTTTGCCTGCATGTGTGTCTGTGCACCATGTGCAAGCGGTGCCCACGGATGCTAGAAGAGGATGTTGGATACTCTTGAAATGGGAGTTACAGGAAGTTGTGAGCTGCCATGTGGGTGCTAAAAATTGAACCTAGATCTTCAGCAAGAGCAAGCAGCCAGTGCTCTTGAGCTGTCTCTTCAGTTTGTTGGAAATGGGTTTTCTTTTAGCCTTCTCTGGATTAGACCTCATTATATGACCAAAGATGACCTTGAACTCCTCCTGTTCTTGCCTTTGATTCCCAATTATTAGAATTACAGGCGTGAGCCTCCACACCCGGCTGCATCTAAATGTTTTCAGTGCAACATATTCTTCTCTCAGTTGTTCTCCTTAATTATTCTTATTAAATCTCTTCTGTGACATAATAGGCTCTCTAATTGTGTTTTCTAGATCTTTCCCTTCTGGGCCAGATGCTCATTCATTGTTCAATAGTTTTTTTTTTTTTTTTTTTTGCCTTTTGGAGATGACATGCCACTGGATCCCCACACTATCCCAGTTCTCCCCCCCCCCCCCCCTTTTTGACTTTTCAAGACAGGGTTTCTCTGTGGCTTTGAAGCCTGTCCTATAACTCATTCTGTGGACCAGGCTGGCCTCGAACTCACAGAGATCTGCCTGCCTCTGCCTCCTGAGTGCTGAGATTATACACACGCCACCACTATCCCAGTGTTTAACACCTGACCTATTCTGTGACAAAAACCAGGTTTGAACACTTCTTAAACCTTTAGAACATGGCATGTTGATTGCTGTTGGCAAGAAAAACCACAGAATTGGTCAAATGCATGCATAGATTCATGTGCTCCATCTTCAATTGGCCCCCTACCACAACCACCCATCCTCACCTTCCTTCCCCTGCCCCAATGTTTTGCTTGGTGACCTTCCAAATGTATCCCCTGTCGTGTTGCATTTAGCGCTGTAGTTCACGAGAAAGTAAGAACCAGGGAGTGGTTTCTACATACCTGGCCGCTGAACTCTTCACAGATACTTTGTGAATTTTGGCCATGGCACTGGGAGTGGAATCGTGAATATCTTCGGCACACGCTCATCGTCACCAGACCAGGAACGGGCTTTCCATATGTGTACCTAGAAATATAAAATGATCATTCCAGATGCGAGGAACCATGCAAGGCTGGACTTGGCTTGCTCTTTTAGACCTGTGATCCTTGCTGTGGTGGAGGATCCTTGACTCTTGCCTTAGATTTGTAATTAGAATTTCTGTGAGTGGGGCCAGGGATTCTAATTTTAACTAAGCTCACCCCATAGAGCTGATATAGAACAATACCTGAAAATCTCCCCTTTGCCAAGCCGTGAGGTTGGTATAGCCTCACGGCCATAGCTTTCTTCTTGTACATCCCTTCTAATGCTTGTATGTGCTGATAAGTAAGCACCACTAAATATTATTTAAGGTACATCCTCTCAAATAGAATATGGACATTAAAATAAGATAAAAAATAATGTAACTCACAAGCCGCAGGCCGACACCTCAAATTCCTCTTCCAGGAAAGAAATGATCTTGGGCAATTTTACTTTCACCTCAAATTTGGGCAAAACTGTTTTGAAGAGAGGGAAAAGGGAGGTGAGAGTCGGCAGGAGACCTCATCATTATTACCAAGGGATTTTACTAGAGGAACCTGTGACATAGAGTCACCTGGAAGGAGCACCAGCGTCAATACCGGGAAAGAGATGCTGGCACCCATTACTGTGAGCACTTTGTGCCGTGCTAACTCGGTGAAACTGGGACTACATTTCCCAGACTTCTCTAGTTTTGTGCAAGGTTTCAAAGGTGGGTGGGATATCCCTGAGTCTGAAGACCACCGCAGTTAGATGTAGGAACAGAGGGCCAGTGGGCTCCAGTGTGACCTCCCTCCTTCCCTCCCCCCCTCCCTCCCCCGCCTCTCATGTTTATCAAGTACTAGCTAGTCTGACAGACATCCCCAGCCTTGCTCCCAGAGCCATGGTCTACTGCGTGGGAGAATATCAGAGGTAACAGCTCTCTGCAGGTCTTTGGCTGATTCCCAGGAATCTTCCACTCCGGCAGGTGAAGGCGCCGCCTCTCCCACCCCAACTCCCCCATGCTCTGACTAACCCGTGCCCACTTCAGAACTCGTTAGTCATGTTCTAAGATTTGCCACTTCTTCTTGTTGAATCCTTCTCTTTCAACCTCTCTCACGGTTGTGAAAGGCACTACCTTATGAAGGCCCCTGGGAGTGTTGAGAGCATGTTTTTTGATTGGTTTTCTGACACTGACTTCTGCCATCCACATATGAACACACAGAGTGCGAACATACCACCCCCAACATGCACACACATGCATACAACTCACATATACACAGAAGTAACCCCAAGATTCCAGTGTCATAAATACTTGGAGGTTTCTTACCATATTCGTTCACCTCAAAGGAGTGCTCTGTTTTCTTCCCAGAGTCCTTCTGTACTACAACCTTGTAGGTACCGAGAGCTGGTTCAGCTGACAGTGGGAAAGAGAGCTGGTGGAGTCCTTTTTGTAGATCGGTGTTTAGCCATTGAAAAATTCGTTTCCTCTGGGGATTCTACAGAAAGATATGAGTTGTGTAAACAATTCAAACATATAGTTTGATTAGGGATCAGCTTTTCAGGCAATAATAACACTGGGAGATTAATAAGTGGTTGAAGAATTAGTGCTAAAGTCATGAACCCACTTTTAAAAAGAATCCCAGACCGAATAACAGAAAACAGACAGTGTGGGCACCAGCTGTGGGATCCTATGGACCCTATGCCGTACCATCCCAAATGCATCAACTTCTATTGATGTTGGAAGTCAAGCAGGTTAGAAGGGAGACCCTGCATCTATGTGATATAATAAATCTCTTTTTGATACATGTTTATTTTGGCTTGAAGTATTTTAAGAGTCATGAAATCACACTACCCTAAAGAACAGCAATTCTCCATTTAACTTTTATTTTTACAAAAAACTTGAGGTAGGCAAAAAAAAAAAAAGTAGCACTTGTTTAGTTGAGGTGGCATCTAAAAGGAGAAAAGAATCTAGTGTATCTTGTAGGGCACCCTTCTTCCAAATTAGGTGTACAGTCTGTGACTTACCTCAATGTAAATGACAGGGAACTGAAAAGAAAAAAAAGTAGTATGAGTGTGTGGTGGAATAAAATTACAACTTCAAAAGTTTACTGAGCTTACTGCTCCTTTTTCACGTTATGATTTATTTCCTTGTCCCATATCATCCTTGTCCTTTCCAATTAGTTCTTTCGAATTTCGTACAGTGTATTCTGACCATATTCACACACACCCCTCTCCTCCCAGATCCATACCCTCTTCTCTACCCACCCAACGTCAGGTCTTCCTCTTCCTCTTCCTTTTTTTTTTTTTTTTAACCCACCAAAGTCCAATCATGCTGCCTACATATTCACGGATGTCAGAGGCAATTGTGACGCAGAGGAGCAAAGTCTCTGTCTCTCTTGTCAGAGCTAGGAGAGATCCCCTGTTTCTTCTGTAGCTTTTTACATGTTTGGGATCTCTCTCTCTCTCTCTCTCTCTCTCTCTCTCTCTCTCTCTCTATTTTTCGAGACAGGATTTCTCTGTGTAGCCCTGGCTGTCCTGGAACTCACTCTATAGACCAGGCTGGCCTCGAACTCACTGAAATCTGCCTGCCTCTGCCTCCTGAGTGTAGAACATAAATCTCTTAAGAACTTACAACTTTCCTTTTATGACAGCTGATTGAGGAAATTTAGCTGAGTGAAAGAGCTGAATAATAAGTATACTATTGTTTTGCAAATGATATTTGCTGAAGAGAAACCAGATGCACTTCTGGAGTGGCTGGAATCTCTTAAGAGGACATTTTCTTTCTTTTTTTTCCTATTTATTTATTTATTTATTTATTATAGATTTCTGTCTCTTCCCCACCGCCGCCTCCCATTTCCCTCCCCCTTCCCCAATCAA